TTATTTTTGCTTTGTTCTATTTTTTTTCATTTGAATTTTTTTTTCCTGACATTTCTTTTATTTAGTTAAAAAATGAGTAATAGTGATGAGTGACCTTTGAGTTGTTATTTTTTTTCTTATCAAATGAACGTCTTTGAATTAGATTTTCAAAGGAAAACAAGATGAAAGGGAAAGTGGGTAGTTATATATGTCATTGTTATGCATATAGTGAATGGAGTGAATAAAAGTTACTGGAAGTCTGTAATGAATTACTTATTTTTGAAGAAAATGAATGAAGATTATAGTTCCAATAGTAAAAAACAAACAATTCATTGCATTGTTGAGTCTTCCACAGTGCCCCCAAGTTCCAATAATTAGAAAAACTCAAAACATTTACCTTGAAGAAAACTTAGGATACTTGAATGCGTCAGGTTGATTTATGTTGAGGAATTTACATTTGACAAGAGTGATCAAAACATATCAAGCAACCGTTTAGATTTTTAATCATTGTGGGCTTTGTGAAAACAGGATGAAGATAAATGGTGTGCAAGAAGATTAGAGATTATGAGTAAGAGAGGTTGAAGGAGCATTAGAAGAGGCTTGCCGACATCAAATTGGGCATTAAATAAGCACAAAGTGCATGTGATTTCTTAGATTTGCATATGTAATTTTGCATGAGTACCATGTCTTTGCAAACTAACTTCATGACTCCTCAATGATGAACTTCTGTAATGGGTTGTGATTCTTGGCAATAGTTTCCCTATAACAAGTTGTATTGTATCGATAATGTTTATAATTCGTTCAAAATGAGTTTTGACCCTTATTTTTTTCAAATTATTTTTTTTGGTTGGTATTGTAAACAGTTACATGCGTTTTGATAATCTTGTTTGTATTTGCTTATGTATTGTGTTATCCTATATCTAAGTATCCTCACCAATTAAGTGTGACGTTGTGTTTTGGTATTGGTTAATGTCTTTGAAAATTGGTTGAGATTGCATTAGGTGTAGGCAAGAATGCCAATACTATACACTAAATTTTTTTATGCCAATTGATTATGCATACGAGCCACAAGTCTTGGTTGAAATTGACTTTGGCAATTGAACCGATTATGCATACAAGCCACAATCCAAATTTATAAGCCAATCAATTTTGCACATACCATTCATTAAACTAAGTCCAACTAAGTGTTTTATAATTGATTACGTAATCAATTATGTAACTAGTTATCTATTTGTCATTCCAACTCATAATTTTTTTAATGTTGCCATAGTTGTTGCAAATGACATATGTTACATTTCCTCAGCATTTATTGTGAATAAAATGAAATCTTTTTAATAACATTTCTTAAAAACTACTATTGTATTATTGTGAAAAATAACAATTATATCTCCGCCAGAATTCTATTTTCATTTAAATATATGAAAAGGTCAATTGACAAGATAAAAATTCAATTGTCAATAAAACTTTATCTATTCATCAAAAAAAAAAAAAAAAAAAAAAAAGGATACAAAAAGAAGGTTATCCTGGTGTTCATGCAACAGACACGTTTGAGGAAAATCCAATTAGGATTCAACATCTAATGACCACCGGAATGTAGTCAGCAACCAAACAAATACAAAATTGCAGCCAAAATTAAATTAAGAAAAAAGAAAATTCAAATCAAAATTTAAATTTTCTTATTCTTGAGGCAGTAGCTTCATTTGTTGTAGCATCCATAGGCTTGGCTTCTGTGATGCCTCAACCTTGTTACCCTTCTTACCTGCAAACACGAACGATTAGGATGGGCCTATAAGTGCATAGTACAATTCGATTTGCATGCTTAAATGAGTTGTTCCAAAGTTTTATGATCAGTCTTTCCGGGATATAATGCTAGCATGCCTTTCTTCTTCTTCCCTCCACCTTTCTTTGTTTTTGTGCCCAAAGCTAACCAGGCTTTAATTTCAGGGTCATCTATTGTTTTAGTAGGCTAGAGCTCCTGTAGAGGATGAGACATAATGCAGTCTGACCCATTTGGCATTAGCAGAACAGTGAATTTTATATGGGCAACATAATCACCTACACAACAAATCAAAAATTTCAACACCAGAAGAAAATATAGATATTCCAAGATTGATAAGCCAACTCACATAGCCAGTGTTTGAATCCTTACTAGAATACCACACTTCTCTTCCAAAGCCCAGTCATTTTATACATTTTGACAATACAATTAGGCCAACGGAAAAAGGACCAATGGCCACTCTAAGTTTTTTTCTAACACAAAAACTGTGATGAATGACGGTGTGATTGTGCAATTTTTCCATAGTTTTTAACTGTGATAAAAAAAAACTTGAAAATTTGAGATTAAATGTTAAATGTAGTATAGATGTCAAATCGAGATTCGTATTGTGAATCGAAATGATTTTGTACCGAATCATGAATCGAATCAAATTGTGAATCGTAAAGTTTCAGTCATTTTTTATAAATTACTTAAAAACATATATCTACACATTTAGATGTTAAATATATCTTATAAAAATGAAATATTTAAACTTAAATCAATAAAAATGTTATTTTGAATGATAATCATGTAGTTTAATAGGTAAGAAGTTAACAAAGATTCTTATGTAAGATCACCATTTTACCTTTTTTCTTTTTTAGATATTTCTTATCAACCGTTTTTAATAAAGATAATAACCAAATAAACAAACTATCAATAATCCAAAGTAACAATAATTAACAACGATATTTATATTTGGACAATAAACATACATAAGTAACAATGAGCAAATAATAAGAAAGAATGATTTAGAATCTTTTATTTTAAAACTTAAAAATATTTTAAAAAGTATAATTGAGCTCACATATGTAATATTCAATTATATTCAATTTAATAAAATAATAATAGGTAATTCGTAGTGTAACTTTAATCTTAAATATCTTTAGAAAATATATTATGATTTTTTAAAGGGAAAAAAAGGAAAGAACAGTTAAAAATATATTCGGTCTGACTAAATCTGATTGGATCCTATTAAAAACTCCATGATCACTAAAATAATAATAAATCATGTATATATGTTAGTTATTTTGATATTAAATGCTATTACAAATTGTATTATGTCATTTTCACTAAAAAGATAGAGAAAAGAAGAGTTGAAAATATGTTGGATACAATAATTTCAAAAATTGCATGAATCGTAAAAAGTGAATTGAATCGTGAATCGATTGTAAATCGTGTGATTCATTAGAGATTCACTTCCAAAATAGATTCATTTATAGATTCGTATCGATTTTACAAAAAATAATGAATCAAATTGTGAATCAAATCGCGAATCGTAAAATTCTAATAACAAAGGTGACTAATAGCAATAAGATCTAAAGGAACAACAAACATTGCAATGCAAAAATAATTTTTAAAAAAATAAAAAAATAGCACTCCTAGTAAAGATGAATTGCATCCACTAGATATTATTCTGAGAAACCTAAAACTATATCAGTGACAGTACTCGATAATTTGTGAAAAGGAAAACAACATCAATAAATCATTTGAGACTAAAGTGACATACTTTTTGTCAAAGTAAAAATGTGAAATAGAATGCTGCACCCACAATTATACAATACTTGCATATATATGGCAAATCTACATAAAAACTAAGGAACTAACCTCGGATCAGATAATGGGTCCACCTTGGGATGCATAGAGTTTTCTTGCTTCATCATGTCCACAATTTCCACCTAAAATAGAAGTACAATGAGCATATTTAGGCCACCAATTTAAAATTCAATCGCAGAACCTAAGAAGCACGGACACTTCTAAGAAGGTGACGTATTCGTGTCGGACACCAACACTCTTTGGACACGTGTCCAACACTCTTCAAAACATATCCTATTTTTAAAATTTTTTTAAAGACTTGGACACTTGGAGAATACACATGTCAATCGCTTAAACACACGTGTCTATTGATTAGACACATGTGAAACTAATTATAAGTTTGAACAAAGCAACTTAACATACAATAATAAAACAAAACCTATATAAATTTATAAGAATTAGGGTCATTGTATTTTTTTATTATCTTTGAATGATATATTTATATATATAACATATAATAAATATATAAAATTATATATTTCATAATTACAGACCTGAACACTGTTTGGACACTTGGAGAATACACGTGTCAATCACTTAAACACACATATTTATCGATTAGACACATGTGAAACTAATTATAAGTTTGAACAAAACAACTTAACATACAATAATAAAACAAAACCTATATAAATTTATAAGAATTAGAGTCATATTGTATTTTTTTATTATCTTTGAATGATATATTTATATATATAACATATAATAAATATATAAAATTATATATTTCATATGAGTCCTCCACGTGTCGTGTTTGGTATTTTTTGAAAATTAACATGTCGACGTGTCCGTGTCCGTGTCCGTGCCCGTGTCATGTCACGTGTTCGTGTCTATGCTTCCTAGAGCGGGACAAAGTGAGAGGGAATACCTTGAATGACTCATTATCAGTTCGAAACTGAATTCCAGGTATGAAATGCAACCAAAGAGGAAACCCACTGTTCAAAAACAAAGTCTATAAGGCAAAGTTCACTGATAAATTGTTGGTTTGTATACTCTACAATAGATTGGAACAAAATTTTATAAGCTTTACCAATAGTTCCATTTAGCACAAACATGAGGACCAATACGTAGATGAGCATCTAAACTAGCTTTAGCAACCAATTTAATAAATTTAATGAATTGCTGATTCAAGAAGGATCCTAATAGAGTACGTACCGCAGCTTATCTGTAATGGATACAGAGGCAACAAAGAAATGTTTGGCAAGTCATTTAAGCAACAAAAGGAAGACCTCACAACCCAGAAACTGTGAGAAGGCTGCCTAGAAAAGTATATTTAATTAAAGATTTCATTGCTCTATATAAATCTTAGGACTTATTATATAAATATAATCAATTTTCGTTGGGAATCCAAAAACAAGACTAAAAAGGGCTCAAAATTATACATAAAACTACAATGACACAGGGAAAGAAGAAAACATTTCAAATAATCTATAAAATCTTAAGCAACATGGCAAGTTGGCAACTGACTTTAGAATAAAGGGAACTTACTTCTCCTTACTTTCTTTTCCTTCTTTTTTTTCTTCTCAAAATGGCCCAATTATGGAGATATGCTTCAAGAGAACTTGAAAATAGAGTTAAAAATTGTTAAAGATAGGATATTTCCGCAATTATAACAAATACTTCGGGTTCTTTTTGACCATTACCAAAATACTTTATCTAGTTCTTATTTGCAAAAGAGTTAATGAGGTGGTGGGAAAATAGTATATAAGAAAGGGCAACATGTTACAAACTGATGGGAAAATGCAAAATAATTACAATTACACAGGAGGGGTTATAGAACTCTAATAAGTATAAAGCATATTAATTAGGATACAGGTTAGAGTGTAAATGCTTTGGAAATTAGGCCAAATTTCTGCACTAATAAATCAAGATAGATATAGAGGTTAACCAAAGAAAAAAAATGAATTAATAGTAGTCACAACTGCAGCCTCATGTGCAATCATTGTATTAGTTACCACAATACAATTTTCCAAAAATCCAAAATAGATGATGCAAAACCACATCTCACACAATGTGAATAGGTAGGTGAAATGTGAAATCAAACTAAACCACATATAATCCAACTTTCTACAGAACTTTAAGTCAATGGCTGAACAAGCATTGACTCCAATTGTACTAAATCAATACATTTGGAACAAAATTGTATCGCGTGGATTCAAATTCCAAAAATCAACGTACCATGAATTGAAGAAATACCGATCAGATAAGTTTGAGTTCTTCAACACTAGTACTTGATCTCCCAAATCTGAAAAATCATAGAATGAGCACTGCTATCAAAATCTGTCTACATTGTTCTGGTCAAGAATAGGAAGTCTCGCAATATAAACTTAGAGCAAACATCAAAGGTAGTTAAAATATGAACAACGCTAAAATGCTAAAATTCATCAAAATGTTCATGTAGAAAAGAGGAATTGATAATGCTCATGACTATATCACATGGAGAATAACAAAACAGCACGCATGTTATTGAAAATAAACGAAAGCTTGAACTATATTAAACTCAAGGAGTAGCTTCCATCAAGAGCTATGGCATTCAATTCAAGTTCATTTTGAGTATTCTGTAAATCTATTGAGTTTTTGGAGTACTTATAAAAATCTAACAGTTCATGCTTCGGTCGAGCATCGTTATCCATTCATGAAAAACACAGTTTCTTTTTTTTTATTTTTTTTTTTATTTTGAAAATTAGAGATATGTCAATTTGAAAATTAGAGATATGTCAATTAGCTTACATACAAGAGATGGGCTTTCATCAAGCAATAAATGTGCTTAAGTAATAGGGTGAATTGAGGAAATCCAGAAATATATATATATATATCATCATCTAAAACCCAGCCATATGAGAATCATCATCTAATATTGTATAAAAAAATTCATGAGGAAGCAATCGCTCAAGTTCAACATCATAGCATCACAGGTTGAATTTCATAAATAACTAACACAAAAATTCAATGTAATCACTCAAAGAACAAAAAGGACACATAATTCCTAACATTTTAATATCTCATGCTTGTTCAGTTCAGTCTATTATATTTTATGTATAAAATAATGTAAATGGGTGACTGTAATGGGCTTAGAAAACCAAGCGGAATAAGCATGATATCAAGTCCTTAATTGAATCCACTCAATTCCTAACAGAGGAGCTATCACTATTGGAATCTGTGAGTGGAGTATCAGATTCAATTAATAAATGTATTTTCACAATCAACCAGTAACCCTTTAATGGAAGTTGAATTACAATTAAATGTAGAGATGAAAACAAAACAAATATCATTTACCTATTGAAGAAGAACCAGAGTCACTGCTAGAATTGCTCTAACTACTTGATCTACTCAAAAAAATAATAGCATATAATGAACAACCGAAATTCTCAAACTAACACAAATTCTTAATTGTTTCAATCAGAAGGGTTTTAACAATCATATTCATAAGTGATCAACTGAAAAACATAACACCAAAGTAGTTAAAACTAATTACATAGAAATTGATCTTCAATTTCATATATAAATGTTGAGTTTTATCTTTGTTTAGTCCAATCAATAATGCTAGTTAGATTTATTTGACAGAAATGGCACCCACGAGAGCATAATTTCATAGGCAAAATGGTAAATTCAAATAGCACCCAAAACCATAGATTATCTACAGAATAGTTTCAAATCAAGCACCAAGACAACTACACAAGTTCAAATTATGCAATTTTCTGATGAAACAAAACATACCTAAAACCATAAATTTAACAGAAAGCAAAAAAAAGAATAAAGAAAAAAAGAAAAGGAACTTGCAATGCAAGTGTGCATGTGTGTGAATTATTAAAACACCACATACTCTACAAGTTACTTAAAAAATAAAACTATGGCTACAAGAAGCATAAATAGAATTGATTTTAGAAGTGTGAAGGAGATGGAGAAATTGATCGATCATGAAAAGAAAGAGGCAGTTAGCACATGCCAAAAATCGATTGAGAGAGAGAGAGAGAGAGAGAGAGCTCCATACTTGATATCTAGTTCGAGAGAACTTACTTCAACGATGGAATCCAACAGAGACTTGTAGTTCCATTATTGCTGGAAATCAAGGGTTATACAGAGATTCAACAATGGAACCCAGCAGATGCTTCTTCTTGTTAATGGAAATCAAGGGTTACACAGAGGAAGAGAAGAAGAGGGAGAGACGAAATAGAGAGAGTGAGGGAAGTGGGATGGAAATAGGAGGGTTAACTAGTTGCCCCGGTTTTCAATCTTTTACCATTAAACAATTCAATGGTCTTGATCAATTCTTTGATCAAATCTTTTACAATTAAAAATGTTAATAGTTAATACCATTTTACAGTGGCATTCCATTTAAGTACAGAATGGAACAAGAAGTAAACTCTAATGCATAAGATCAGTTAATCTTAATGTATGCCTGTCATATTACATTGGCACAAGCACGAAAGCTAATTGTTATTCCATGTAAATTTATGAAAAAAAAAAAATTTGTATGTAATTCCCTATCCAGGCAAATCAGCAATGTTGCTGTGGAGTGTGGATCTAGCATCACCGGTCATCTTGAAACAATGCCTTAGAAACAGAACCAGAGGGTTTACTCCCATTATGTTTCTTCCCCATCATTGGGGTCTCACAGACTATATCATGGTTTCCCCTGTGTCGTTCCTTCCTCTTTGATTGCTTCTGTAGAGACTCAGATTTTGCTCTCATTGCCTTGGGTTGCTTCGGGGCCCAAACCCTCTGCAAATCTGGCACCCAAGTTGTGAAAGAAACAAACCTGCGAGCCCTTTCTCTCCTCTCCTGAGCCTCACTTAACTTACGGGCATGATCCTCTCTCTTAACATTGCGAGGACTGTCCATGTCATGTTCCAGTGGTTGGGAAGACTCATCTTCTGCTGAGATTGATTCATGAATTTTATTAGTTTCAGCTGTTACATATCTGTCTTTATCTCTCCACGAGTGATTGCTATCCTCACTGTTGAGTAGCAGAATCAAGGATTCATTCTCATCAACATATGGCAACAGATCCATTTGTGCATAGATTTTATTTACCACATTTCCAAGAACATGATGATACCTGAAAATTTATGCATTCAAATATCATTTAATATGACTGATTCTAACTTCAGGTAATAATGCGATGCTCATACTGTTGCACAATTAAAATATAAAAGAATAGATAAATGAAGCTCCTCTTCATTCTGAAATAACTAGAATGAATAGAGACTAAATTTTGGCTGTCACTGCTCATATACAATCATAATAATGACATTGAATATCTCTAGGACTGTAACATCAGTGTGCTTTAGCGAGTATTGGCAGCGTATGAAATGAATGAAATATGAATCCATATGCAGAAGCAGCATCTAGTAGAACCAGATGCATCCAGGGTGCTTTTGATTTGAAAACTACAAATTTGTTTTAAACACTATGCTTTCAGTAACCAAATTGCATGGATTACAGTCAGTTTGGATTTCTAGAACTATTTCTCATGTGAAATAGAAATATTTTTATCATTTCCTCATTGACTAGCTCTTTATCAGAGCCACTTCTACATCCAAGTTCCACAAGATCCACATAAAATAAAATGAAATAAAATAAAAATAAGTTAGCTCTTTATACAACTCATTTAACATGTGGATCATTTAGCTCTTTATCAGATCTTTGGTTAGCTCTTTCTCACTCATTGCTCTGGCTCATGCAAAACTTGGGTGTAGAAATGGGTCTGATAAAGAGCCAATCAAAGATACTGTGACACAGAAATGGAGTAATAAAGAGCTGCGCAGTAGACTGGCTGAAACAGAAATATACCAGCTGAAGCTGAGCAATAAACAGAAACTTGGGCATAGAAATCGGTCTGATAAAGTTCATTTCTGTTACTGTTATTACATAGACTTAACATATTTTTATTGAGAAATGCTAGAGACCCACAATTTTAGACCTACAATAATGTGTCAAGGGAGTTGGGCACTATATGGTTGAGTGTGTGACAAATCAAAAGTTGACACCTATCATGCCACATCATTATGAGTCAAATTAGGAGAACTTTTTTAGGGGTCTCAAACATTTTCTATTTTTATTTTGAAATTGCCCTCACTAACTCTTAGCATGAAACTAATTGTAATCAATAGATCAAGTTTCTACATTCAGAATGCATGTATTTCTCTATATCTATGTTTGAAATCAATATGTCAAGTTTCCACGCTTACATATGTGTAAAGCATACACATATGTGCTTGTGTGATTGATCTGTCTTCGAAAAAGAATGAAATCTCCAAGTGAAGGTATTAATATCGAACTGATTTTAACAAAAACAAAATGAGAAAGAGATGTTAAAATATACTTGCAAACGAATGTGTCCCTACCGAAGTAAACAAAATGAAAAAAGAGATGCTAATATATACTTTTCTCTGAAAACAGCTATAAAATATGGTACTAACAAATGGTGCCTTTTCACTTTATACCTCATTTTGATGGTTTTTTCGACATAATCATAAAGGCTCAAACGGCCGTGAAAGCCTCCTTCCACAAGGTACTGAATGATTTCTAGGAGCAAGCAAATCTGCTTCATGAGCTTGCGTTTTGTAGAAGCTTCAATGCTCTCTGCAACCTCTGACCGGAGTATCTCCATACGAAGCAAAATCTGGAATTCATGTCTTGCACTAATTAAGGAAAATGCCACAGCAAATGGAGCTCAATTGTTACCTCCAGAACTTAGTTTCTTAACAAAGGCACCAATGCATGATAAATACGTATAAAAATTAACATAGTATTAAGATAAATATATATATATAAGATTAAGGATACTCTCTAACTATAATTTCAGAAACAAAACTGGTAGATCCTGGATCAGATGCTGTAAAGGCTGGATCATTATCCTTGTGCTTTTCCTTCAATTCCTTGGGCTCCTTTAGCAGAAGTTTTATTAGATTTCCAGCAACTATCTTGCCAGGAGAACCATCTGATTTTACCAATGGGGTTTGACTCTCCATGCTATTATCAGATTCATTCCTCTGGTATAACCAATAAACGGACAAGTTCACAATTCTCTCAGCCAAGATCTGCAAGTCCACTCTGGATTCAAGACCATCTTGAATCTTCTTAGGAAGATTACTGAAAAAGGCTTCCAAAGTTTCTGAACAAGAAACTAAGGAAGATCCCTCCTGTATTTTCGAAGGTTCAGTTGGAAAATATGAAGGGATTGGTTGTCTGCTTTCTTGGTCTGTTCCAGTTAGTCTTTCACCTATCTCTCTTTCAATATGTTGACATGACTTGGATCTATCAGGTACGGTTAAGCAACCATAGGCAGACTTCTTCATCTGTTTCATCCAGCACTTCAAAAACTTCAACTTCTTTGATTTACTAAATCTTCTGGCAAAGTAAGCCTCCTCCAGCTCCAATTCAGAGAATTCAAATGCTGCATTACAGAAGGAGATCCAGGTGAGGTCCTGGTACACATGTTTTTTGTTCTTTTTTCTATTTTGATCACTTAGAGGGAAATTATTTTTTGATGACGAAGCTACTGATCCACGAAATTCAGGTTCCATCACATGCCAATCATCTATAATAGAGAGAATAGCCAAATGAGCTGTAAAGGGCTTGAGCATACCCATGAATGAATCTCCATTTCCTTTTGAAAGAGACACCAAAGCCATGTAACCTTTCCTACAGAGAAAACTTAACAGAATTTGCCATATAGGCATGGTTTTTCTATCAATGAGCTGACCCATTTCACTAGATAGTACTTCAAGAACCCTATCAGCAAAGAAACTGCTACAACATTTCTTCGTACTTCTCCCTGATTCTCCTGAGTGTCCTCGTATTAAAATGAGATTGGATGAGCAGCCCTCAGTTCTCACATTCTCATTACATTTCTGAATAGATTTAATATGAAGATTTGTAATTCCATCACCAAAATGATCCCAAAATTTTTTATCTTGTTCAAGTGATTCACTTTCCGAGTTTCTAAATTCTAGGGTATGCATAATATCAGCAGGCATAAGGCTAGGTAGCTCCTTCAAATTGAGCAATTCAAGATCACAGCACTTGCATTCTAAAGGCTTTCCACTCACATCCGAGATCTCAAGAGTCAGTTGTGCATGAATAGGTTTACAAAAATCGTTAAAATTGAGACAATTGAATGAAGTTCCAATAATTGGATAAATCAATCCAAATGGAATAATAGCAGAACCCAAAATGATTGAGTCAGTAGAACAAAATCCCCAACCTAAATTCCTAATTCCATTCTCAAGAAACCCAAATTGCAACACAGATTCATCAATCTCCACATTTTCTTCATTACACTCCACATCAAACTTAACATCAATCCAACTACAGTGAATATCTCTGTTGACATATGCATCATTCACAGCACCAAAAAAATCATGAAAATTCTTACAGAATGAATCTACATTGCTCAACAATTCATTACCGATACCCACAATCATAAATTCAGATAAACATTTCAACGATCTACCAATCGGCGACAGCAAAAGAACCAAATTGGATCGAACAGCGGGAAAATTGTTCAACCTACCTGAAAGATTTTCACTTTGTGCATCCCAAGCATAACCATGCACGAGGTGAAGCAAAGAACCGGCCAGATGTGAGGCACGAGGCGGGGAAATCGCAAATTCCGTAGAAATTGGGGAGTTAGAGAGAGAATTGAGGGTTTTCGAGAGTGAATCGAGTGTTTGAGAAGGGCGGTTGAAGGAGAGATGGGTGGTGGAGGGTATGTGGAGGAGGCGATGGAGGGAGGAGGAGGAGAGGAGAGGGGAGAGAGAGGAGAAGAAGAGCTTGAAGGCGAAGAGAGAGGAAGAGAGAGAAGGGAAGAGAAGGAGGGTTTGGGAAGCGGTGAGGATTGTGGAGAGATATGGGTTAGGGTTTTGGAGGTGAAGTAGTGGGTAGAGATCTATGAGAAGGACTATGCGCTCTGTTTGAGAGTAGTTGTAGTAGTAGTCTATGCTTTCTGCCATTGAAGAGGAGGTCTGAGATTTTCAACTGTTAGGTTTGAAATCTGGTAGCAGATTGAATGGGAAGGGGAAGGGGAAGGAGGGTGGGAGAGAGAATGGAATCAATCAGAATTGAGAGAGAGGGAGAGAGAGAAAAATACTTCCAAAAAAAAAAAAATGGAGGGAAGCTGTGGATTCAAAACCACATGATATTTGATAAACAAAAATGCCTAGGACCGAAAGTGGGTGACCCCATTGCCCTTACTGTTTTTTTTGATTGGCTTAAATTATTATTAAAAAAAAAAAAAAAAACACAACTCCAAGACCAAAACATCACATCATTAATGGCGGAACCTACTGCCACCTAATTAGTGGGAGCACTAATTAGTGCTCCCAAACATTTTTCAAACAAAAATGCCTTGGACCAAAAGTGGGTGACCCCATCACCCTTACTGTTTTTTTTGATTGGCTTAAATTATTATTATTTTTTTTTTGTAATTTTACTTTCACAGCCTCTCTTAGGTGGAGATGGAAGTGTTGGGGTCACCTCACCGAGAGTCTCAGCATTGTTGTTTGATAAAATTGATATTTTTCAACAAAAGAATAAAAAATGGGATAAATTTGTGATCAATCACGGAAAACTTTAGATATGAAAATTGGGGAAGATATTGAAAAAATAAAAATCAATCAAAATTAAATGCACATCTTTTCATAATAAATAAATAAAAAATAAAAAATATCCAAATTATCCTGTAGACTTGTTTTGGGAATAGTTACTTTTATTTGGTTTTTTTTTGTCACATTATCTTTATATATATATATATACACATATATATTTAAAAAAAATTTAAAAATCATTAAATAAATAAGTCCTAAACCAATCCAACCAAATACTCTCAAATGTGTCATTCACTTATTTGGAGGAAAATTCCTAAGCCCTCTAAAATATTAACTCCAAATTTACTCATAATATTTTTATATCCATCAGTTACGATAATTCCTCAACTACCAAATCTATGATTCCAAAAGAAGGGAATGGGTTGTACCAAAAACAAAAAAAAAAGGGAATGGGAGTTCCTGATGTCTGTGAAGCATAGCAAGCACTATTGTGAGACAACACAACAAGCACTATTGTGTGCACATTAAGGGGTCTTTTGGAAAGCTCCAAGATCTGCAAGTCCACTCCTTTGGATTCAAGACCATCTTGAATCTTCTTAGGAAGATTACCGAAAAAGGCTTCCAAAGTTTCTGAACAAGAAACTAAAGAAGATCCCTCCTGTATTTTAGAAGGTCCAGTTGGAAAATATGAAGGGATTGGTTGTTTGCTTTCTTGGTCTGTTCCAATTAGTCTTTCACCTATCTCTCTTTCAATATGTTGGCATGACTTGGATTCATCAGGTACGGTTAAGCAACCAGAGCCAGACTTCTTCATCTGTTTCATCCAGCACTTCAAAAACTTCAACTTCTTTGATTTACTAAATCTTCTGGCAAAGTAAGCCTCCTCCAGCTCCAATTCAGAGAATTCAAATGCTGCATTACAGAAGGAGATCCAGGTGAGGTCCTGGTACACATGTTTTTTGTTCTTTTTTCTATTTTGATCACTTAGAGGGAAATTATTTTTTGATGACGAAGCTACTGATCCACGAAATTCAGGTTCCATCACATGCCAATCATCTATAATAGAGAGAATAGCCAAATGAGCTGTAAAGGGCTTGAGCATACCCATGAATGAATCTCCATTTCCTTTTGAAAGAGACACCAAAGCCATGTAACCTTTCCTACAGAGAAAACTTAACAGAATTTGCCATATAGGCATGGTTTTTCTATCAATGAGCTGACCCATTTCACTAGATAGTACTTCAAGAACCCTATCAGCAAAGAAACTGCTACAACATTTCTTCGTACTTCTCCCTGATTCTCCTGAGTGTCCTCGTATTAAAATGAGATTGGATGAGCAGCCCTCAGTTCTCACATTCTCATTACATTTCTGAACAGATTTAATATGAAGATTTGTAATTCCATCACCAAAATGATCCCAAAATCTTTTATCTTGTTCAAGTGATTCACTTTCCGAGTTTCTAAATTCAAGGGTATGCATAATATCAGCAGGCATAAGTCTAGGTAGCTCCTTCAAATTGAGCAATTCAAGATCACAGCACTTGCATTCTAAAGGCTTTCCACTCACATCCGAGATCTCAAGAGTCAGTTGTGCATGAATAGGTTTACAAAAATCGTTAAAATTGAGACAACTGAATGAAGTTCCAATAATTGGATATATCAATCCAAATGGAATAATAGCAGAACCCAAAATGATTGAGTCAGTAGAACAAAATCCCCAACCTAAATTCCTAATTCCGTTCTCAAGAAACCCAAATTGCAAAACAGATTCATTAATCTCCACATTTTCTTCATTACACTCCACATCAAACTTAACATCAATCCAACTACAGTGAATATCTCTGTTACAATATGCATCATTCACAGCACCAAAAAAATCATGAAAATTCTTACAAAATGAATCTACATTGCTCAACAATTCATTACCGATACCCACAATCATAAATTCAGATAAACATTTCAACGATCTACCAATCGGCGACAGCAAAAGAACCAAATTGGATCGAACAGCGGGAAAATTGTTCAACCTACCTGAAAGATTTTCACTTTGTGCATCCCAAGCATAATCATGCACGAGGTGAAGCAAAGAACCGGCCACATGTGAGGCACGAGGCGGCGAAATCGCAAATTCCGTAGAAATTGGGGAGTTAGAGAGAGAATTGAGGGTTTTGGAGAGTGAATCGAGTGTTTGAGAAGGGCGGTTAAAGGAGAGATAGGTGGTGGAGGGTATGTGGAGGAGGCGATGGAGGGAGGAGGAGGAGAGGAGAGGGGAGAGAGAGGAGAAGAAGAGCTTGAAGGCGAAGAGAGAGGAAGAGAGAGAAGGGAAGAGAAGGAGGGTTTGGGAAGCGGTGAGGATTGTGGAGAGATATGGGTTAGGGTTTTGGAGGTGAAGTAGTGGGTAGAGATCTATGAGAAGGACAATGCGCTCTGTTTGGGAGTAGTTATAGTAGTAGTCTATGCTTTCTGCCATTGAAGAGGAGGTCTGAGATTTTCAACTGCTAGGTTTGAAATCTGGTAGCAGATTGAATGGGAAGGGGAAGGAGGGTGGGAGAGAGAATGGAATCAATCAGAATTGAGAGAGAGGGAGAGAGAGAAAAATACTTCCAAAAAAAAAAAAAATGGAGGGAAGCTGTGGATTCAAAACCACATGATATTTGATAAACAAAAATGCCTAGGACCGAAAGTGGGTGACCCCATTGCCCTTACTGTTTTTTTTGATTGGCTTAAATTATTATTATTATTTTTTGTAATTTTGCTTTCACAGCCTCTTACGTGGAGATGGAAGTGTTGGGAGTCACCCTCACTAAGAGTCCCAGCATTGTTGTTTGATAAAATTAATATTTTTCAACAAAAGAATAAAAAAGGGGATAAATTTGTGATCAATCACGGGAAAACTTTAGAAATGAAAATTGGGGAAGATATTGAAAAAATAAAAATCAATCAAAATTAAATGCACATCTTTTCATAATAAATAAATAAAAAATAAAAAATAAAAAATGTCCAAATTATCCTATAGACTTGTTTTGGGAATAGTTACTTTTATTTGATTTTTTTGTCACATTATCTTTATATATATATATACACATATATATTTAAAAAAAAATTAAAAATCATTAAATAAATAAGCCCTAAACCAATCCAACCAAATACTCTCAAATGTGTCATAATGATAATTCCTTAACAAATAAATAAGCCCCAAATATTATGAATAAGCCCTAAAGCATTCACTTATTTGGAGGAAAATTCCTAAGCCCTCTAAAATATTAACTCCAAATTTACTCATAATATTTTTATATCCATCAGTTACGATAATTCCTCAACTACCAAATCTATGATTCCAAAAGAAGGGAATGGGTTGTACCAAAAACAAAACGAAAAGGGAATGGGAGTTCCTGATGTCTGTGAAGCATAGCAAGCACTATTGTGAGACAACACAACAAGCACTATTGTGTGCACATTAAGGGGTCTTTTGGAAAGCTAAAAAAAAAAAAAAAAAAATCACCTTTTAGTTTTTTACTCATTTTGAGTCACATCACCTCTTATATTTTTTACTCACAATAAAACAAAATAGACTAAAAAAGCCAAAAAAATCAATTTTTTTTACCAACTTTCCAAAACACCACTAAGGTGCACTTTGAATTTTATTTTGACAAATTGAATTGTTTATTTTTTTTAATATGCGTCATGTAGAATATGTGCCAAAAAAAAACTAAGGCCTAGTTTGACATCTTCAAAAAAAGATAAAAAATCAAAAAGTTACCAAAAAAGTCAAAAAGTTATCCTACCTTCATGCATTGGGCGACAAAAATGAGTCTGAATTTGCAGAGGGTAAAAATACAATTCTGCCCCTGCTTTTTATTGCTTCCTCTGAGACAGATATATCACAATAATATATCCTCTCACCCAAAAGTTCCCCTTTCCTTCTCCAACCTGCATTCATCGTTGAACAAGCAAGACAATCCCTCAGTCGGAGAACCAAGTCCATTCCGTCACGCTTACACTAGCGACTGCCGGAGATTCGTCGCACCCTTCACCTTGCAGCACTGCCACAGTTGTGGGAAAGTTGTACCTCGACTTGATCGTGTGTCAACAGTAACTGACGGCTATTGGACCATCCGTCGCCCAGATCTACACCACTGCTGACCAGATCTACACATCTCTGGCCTGTTTCCCCCAAACTACAAGGTAATATCTCTTCCATGCCAATGAATTTTCGCATTTGAACTAATATCGTATAGATCTCCCTTTTGTCTGAGCAAAGCAAATCAGTTCATAACAAATGAAAATAACCTGTTATTTTTTTTACTTATTATAAAACACCTTTGAAGCACCATCAACAGATAGCTGAGTTTGAGAGACAAGAACATGACCAAATGTCCACTGTCCCCACTCACGGTTTGTTTTCTGCATAGAATGTTTGGTACTGCAAAAGAAATTTGATAAGATTTAGAAAGGTAAATAAAAAAATACAGCAATACAAACTGAACTATAGATTTTTATTATAGCGGATTTGACATTCTCATGGACTTTAATAATGCAATTCACGTAAACATTAAAAACTTACATCTTATTCCTGAAAAATTCATTAACATGACTCATTGTAGGATCCTTGTACCAATCAGTTAGAGAATCTCCATGTATGGAGTGTTGATGCAAATCAATCTCACGCAGCTGGGGAAGGTGCGGTAGTATATATATATATAAAGTCAAGTTGTAGCCACTACTAGTTTATATATATATATATGTATACACACACTGACACACATACAATGTACCTACACTAGCTGTGATTTCCTAAATTGTTGTTTGGAGAGTGAAAATTGATATGGCAAGTGTTCAGTGCTGCGAGAATGTTCCGATCCTCCTTGGCGCAAGCTGTGGAGCAAGACATATGGAGGACTTTTGAGGCCTCAAGACCTACATTTCTGGTTCCCCTGATTTGAAGCTTGGGATCCTTATTGTCTCCGATGTTTTTCGTACTTTCCCTGTTGTAATTTATGTATTTTTTCTTCGATAGTTGATTTGACCACTTGTTCATTTGGTTTGTAATTGAGTCTTTTTCCTTAATTTCATTGCAATCGGTATTGAGTCATACATTTATGATACATAGCTCATGTTTGTCTGTATGTAACTGTACTTCAACTGGGTATTTTTTTATTATCATTTTTTTTAATAGTTCTTACATTTTTTTTACAAAAAATATAATATTTTAAGGATAGTTTGGGAAGAACGTTTGTAGTCTATTTTTTGGCCTTTTGTCTAATTTAATTAGCTCTGTTTGAGAATTTTCTATATGTTTTTTATTTTTTTTTGAGAGAAAAAATAAAATAATTATGATTTATGTTATTGACTTATTTAGTTTATTTAAATGAAATTTAATTGTCCCAATTGAATTTGTAACAAATAGCTAAGCAGTATTTTCACATTTTCGGTACACACACTTGTTCACATGTTCCTTAATTGATCATCATACACGAGTAGTACAACTTCAACATGACATGCGCTACAACAGTTCTATGCATTTTTTTCAAGTAACTGACATGGCCTTCCAATTGTGACGTTCACCATACACTAGTAGCACTTAGTGTTGAACATGGTCTTCCAATTGAAGGCTGACATCGTCAACCTGTAGCACGCATTGCGTTTCCTACAAATTGTGACATTCGTCTTGTTTATTGTTGTTGTAATGTTGTGGTTCCACAGCCGTAGTTGATTTGCTTCGGTTGTTAGGTTGTATGTACTACCCACCTGCATATTTGTTTGTCGTTTTTGTACAATGTATCCAATTCGTATTTCAAATGGTTAAGCAATATGCTATTTTATGTTATTTGTTATATTCTTGTCCATTATGTTGCCATCTTATGAATGCCCATTTTACGTTTGTCAAATACTTGCTTTTCCACGTATACCACAATTACTGTTGCATTGTAGTAGGCAAATGGAGCAGTTCCAAACGTAGTCGACGCCTTCCAAAACTTGACGTAAGCGCGGTAGTAAACAGACGCAGCAGCAGTCCGTAAATGTGCATAAAGCAGCTTGGGACTCTGACACAGTGCGGATTTTCTTGCAACTTGTTATCAAAGAGTTGGACTCTGGTTTCAAGGGGAGCTTCCATACAATGGCAATGCATGGATATAGAGCTGTCTGCAAGGCCTTCTAGGAGTGTACAAATAAGGTCCATGACGTCAAGCAAATGCAAAACAAGTATGCATTGCTAAAAAAGGATTGGCAGTCGTGGTCATGACTGATGGACAGTAGGCATGGGCCAACCGGCATAAGTTACAATGAAGCGACGGGTTTGATACAAGCATCTGACGACTGGTGGGCGCATTATGAAAATGTAACATTTCCAAATTGTTTTACTCATGTCCAACGTGATACTCATGCATGTATTAGAAGCATTATTTTTATGTAACTATTGATTAATATTTTTATTTGAGCAAAAATGATGAAAGCCTTATCAGTCATTATATTCAATGAAACGCAATGTCACTTGGTTAGACACACAAATTAATGTAAGATAGATTGAAATTTTCAATTTTTTTGAGGGGAGCTTTATGAGTTTCCGTGGCCATGTACTACTACTGTATGACTAATGTTAGACACCTATTTTTCACCCCAAGTAGCTTTGTTATACTTGCCAACTTGGCTCTCCGTCTCTCTGTCCCCCCCTCAATGTCTGACTATTTTGTGGATTTTTTAAAGTGTTTTGTGAGTTTGTGTGGGCAAGTACTTTTGTTAGACTTCCAGTTTGTACTCCAAATTGAATTGTTATGGGTGTGAGTGTGCATGCACGTATGTGGTTAAATTGAGACCTATTTTCGACTCCAAACAGCTTTATTATATTATCAACGTCGGAAAGTTTCCAAGCTAGTTTCATTCAAAATACTCTTTCTCTCTGATACTTCTGTCTAGGTGTTTTTGTGGTTGTGAATGTGAATGAGCATGTACTAGTAGTGTTTTCCACATATTGCAGACTTCGTGATCTAAAGCAACTCGGTGAGGCTTTTTTTTTTGAAAAGTTCATAAATAAGAAAATAAGTTCATGACTTGTGTAGGTTTTTCCCTTTTGTGATTTTTGAAAAATGTGCTGCATCTTTAACTTTTTCAACATTTTAACCCCTTTATTCTGATTTATACATATCAGAATAGAAGTTCTCTAAACAAACCTCAGAGAGTTTATCCCTTTCTACTTTGGGTAGATAAATAAATTGGACTTCAAAGCCATATATATTTCAGTCCACATAGCAAAATTTAAATATAAATGAGTCATGCTTTGTCACTTCACTTCTATAAATTTCTTCTCTCTTTTGTCTTCCTTTCTCAATTCTATGGCACAATTGAATAAGGAAACATAGTTATGATTGTATCTAACAAAATTTATTATTGACTTCATTGGTTTACTTTGACTAGAACATTGAAAATGAAATATTAGCTAGACATCAGACATAGGAACTTCAATTAAAACACCAATAGGCACACAAAACATGTGGCATACACACTTGTAGGTGTCACCCCATTCAACCCTAGGATTTTAAAATTTTAAACTTTTGGGTGATAGATGTTTCAAGAAGGAAACATTTCAGGATGTTCCAACCAAAATGTTTGCAATCTAAATTATGAAAGAAAGTTACTGTATTGTAATTGGGAGGAATGGAGCCTCATTTGTCTGCAAGTTCAGCAAAGGTTACTAACCAAAACATGCATCTCCTTACTTACACTGTTAAACGTGAATTTAGAATGTAGCTAACTATGGTCTCAACTCTCAGCCTCAAATAATTAGTATAAGGAAGGAACCTTCCAATTGCAACACATAAAGATGTTGAAGATAATTTTACAATTTAATTATATGGTTCCCTTGTTCATTGTCATTGATTATTTAATAACAAGCTTAGTTTTTTTTTTGGTAGAACTTAGCAGCAGGTTCACTTACACACCATGAAATACAAATATTTATTTCAAATTCTATGCTATAGATTTTGCAACCATTGGCATCTAATCTTGTGTAATTTTGTAGGTTTTTCCCAGGTTAACAAGAATGCAATAAAGTTCAAAACGAAACCGTTGGAGCACATGGACCTCATGTGAAGGGTGTACGAAGGCGCTACAACAATAAAAAAATATGCATGGACACCAGGTGCAGCGTTCAAACCTGTCGCAACCGATGACGATACTTCGCCGATGGATGAAGAAGATTACGAGGACAATAGCAGTTTGCCCCCTTTCTATCCTGCCGCGCAACGTGAAGACACTGTCCACCACACTTCTGCGCTAGAGGATGACACGCTGGTGACCGTACACGCTACGTCGTCGGCAATTCACGCTGATGACACACCTACAAGTGGCGGGAGCAAATGCAAATTTAGTTGCACAACACACCCATAGCGAAAAAAAGGACAGAGTGTGGGAGCTTCGCTATTGGCGAGTAGCATGGAAAATCTTACATCTTCAGTTAAATTACAACAACGAGAAGTCCGCGTGCATCATGATTATGGAGATTCGACACAGGAGCTCATTGACAAGTGTATGACAAGGTTGTACTCGCTGGAAGGGCTGGATCGGCAAGACTCACTAATTGTTTTTGGTTTGACGGTATTGGACAACCCGGTAAATCAAGCCATAATGGTGCAGATTTCGACATACGTGGCTGTCATTAGCTGGCTGCGAATGAAGAAGTCCCAAAGTATGGGTTGCCCATTAGCGGCAAACTCCGGAATGGGTGGCTGGTTTTGACGACTGTCTAGCATTTGTATCATGTTGCAACCTCATTTGTTTGTTGCTATTTTTTTTCCTTTCGAACAAACTAAGACAGTGTGCCTTTTTTTTTTCCTTTACCAAAAACTGTGACAGTGTGCCTTTTTTTCTTCCTTCCCAAAAACTATGACATTGTGCATGGAATTTTTCATTATTATCAATCGGTTGGTTTGTGTGATGATGTTGATGTTGTAGTACATGCTTGCAGCTGTTTGCTGAAACAGGTTTTCTTTGGCCACTTGAGTTGCAAATGGGAATCTCGACCTGTTTTACTACTTTTTCAGTGGATATTGTTCGTACACTCTATCTTCTTCACAGAATTTGTTTGAAAGCTAAGTAGTAGGAGTGTATTTTTGTGGTTGTTGTTTGTAGTGAATTTTAAAACTGTATATTCCTCCAATTACAGATTCATAAAGAGAGCTGAACTAGTAGAAGTTGATGCTTCACCTCTCACTACTATTACTTCAAATCTCAAGTTTCTTAGGTTTCTGCATATTCCTCTAGATTTTTGAATGATTATATTTATTTATTATTATTTTTTTTAAATCCACTTCACAGAATTTTTAGCTCAAAAATAAGTATAGTGTGTCAAACTAGAAGTCCTCTGTTTGGTTGTGCATTTCTGTTTTTGATTTTTTATCTTTTATTATTTTTTTATTTTTCAGATTTGCAACAGAGCTGAAAAGTAAACAAAAAATTTATATAATTTTGAAAAAAAAATCATTAAAGATTAAAAAAAAAAATCAAGGAAAAAACTGGAGTTGCCTACACTAAACTAGAGTCCTCCAGATTTTTTCAATGATCATTAAAGATAATTATATATATATGTACTTATTTTTTTTTAATTATTTATAAACGGTTACTATTGTAAATTTAGGAAACCCATTATGGAGTTGCCCACACTACACTGTGCTTTCATTCCCTCTTTTCATAGTTTACAATTTTCCTTTTTGCCATTACATTTTTCTTCTTTAACTACTTTGAAGACTGGAGTCCTCCAAATTGGGATTTTTTTTTTCAAGCATAATTTTGTTTCTAATTAGTGTACATTTTTTTTTTCGATTTTTTTTTTTGTAAAACTTTCTTACTATTTTTTTAAATTTATGTTACGTGTGTCTACCAATTTAACAAGTTGACTATAAAATATGAACAAAAGGTAGAGAACACAAAAATTACACAACGGAACAAAATAGAATTTTCTGAACACTGTTTTTAAAAAAATATACCCAAACAAGGTGTCTATTTTTTTTGTTTGGGTGCACAACATAGACTTTTCTAAAAACAAATAATTTTTTTGGGTGAACCAAAAAAAGGGAATCATAGACGTAGGCCCCTTCCTCCTTGTCTCAACTCTCATAAGCAAGTGTCCATAGCACATGCAAGAAAATGTACCCACCACCACCTTCTCCCATCTCTTCTTTCCCTTTTCGTTTGTTTATATTCTTGTTTGTTAACAGTGTGGTTCTCTCTCACACTCCCTCTCCCTTAAAATCTTTCACTTTCCATAGTATTTGCAGAAGGAGTGTGCTTACATTTTTACTCATCACTCATTCAGATTGTGAAAAATTCTTGTAAGTCAAACTCATGGCGGCCGTCGTATTGCCTTCAATTTTTGCATATTTTGCGTTCAAATTTTTACAAATGGCGGACGACGCTGGTCCTAGTCACATCATGCACAATTGTACATCCCAGGAAGCCATTGCTGAAATTGCGTGGGAAATGGTGGTCGAAACTGATCACAACTTGATAAAGGCGTGGAACAGTGCAGCTAGATATTATTACAACCATTATCACAAAGTCCCTAGAAATACATCAATACTTTCAGGATGTTTATGGATGTATGAGTTGTTTAACGGGCATCAAGGTTGGTTTGAAGATGCTGTCAGTATGTTCAAACCAGTCTTCTTGTTGTTATGTGACGCGCTTCATAGTTTTGGGTTGACACTGTCGCAGTGGGAGCATGGCGTTTTGCTGGAAGAGAAGGTAGCTATTTTCATTTGTGCATTGCAGGGAATGTCTTGAAAAAAATTTGCAAGAACGGTTCCAACACTCAAAGGAGACATTGTCATGCAATTTCCATGAGGTTATGCAAGCTATGATACCGTTCACATCGGTTCATAGTAGGAGTCTTACGCTCGAGCAAGTGCAACAAGGGGGCCATCTAAATTTACGATCGCAACGACAGTACCGACCATTCAAGGTGACACTTTTCATAAAATTTTAGTGAATACAGTGCCGACATATATCTTGAATTTTTTATTTATACTTTCTGAAAAATGGTGCGTTGCATAGGACTGCATTGGTGCACTAGACGGACGCACGTGATGGCTTGTGTCTCGCAAGAGTATGTCACTTCATACTATGGCCGGAAAGGCATGCAAACATAGAATATACTGGCCGTATGTGACTTTGATTTGTGCTTCACATTTGAGTTAGTCGGTTGGGATGAGAGCATGTACGACAGCAGGGTGTTGCACTATGTCACAACCGAGCCTAAACATCGCTTCCCGCACCCCGTACCTGGTAAAAATTATTAAACATTTAATAAAATAGCATAATTTAAAAATAATAGCAGAAAAATTACGACATCATACTTGCTCTCGTACAAAAAATTGATAAAATTACTATTTCCAGTTGCTGATTGGAAAGATTATGAATAGTCATTCATAATAGTAGGGAAATAAACAATATTATAAACATATCGGTAGGATTGATTTCATATTTTCTTCAAGTGTACACTTTTTGTATGTATTTTATTTGATACAATGAATAACATTTCAATACTGGTAATACAAACAAAATTTGTAAGTGTTGGTAGTGCTGTTGCTAAAAAATATGCTCAGTGTAGTCATGCAAGTGCAATGTAATTTCTTCCCTCAAATAATTGCCTTCACTAATGGCCACATATTTTGCTTGCATGTACAGAACATATTGTGTCAAAATTTCATCATCATCAAATTGCAAGTGCCAACAGCCAATATGTCCACATGATAATGCGATCATACATAGTATCATTTCAAAAAAAATTGTAAATAAACAAATGAGAAAATAAATTAATTCGAAATTTTTTTATTTTGAAACAAAATATTTAAAACTACAATTTACTAAAAACAGAAATGTAATTGAAAATTGTTGTATTTGACAAGAAAATTTATTAACAAAAAAAGCAGTCGAAAATGAAATTGGAAAACAAAATAATTAATAACACAATAATAGAAAAATTATTTATTTGGAAAAAAAAACTGAATGGAAAGAAAAATTATTTCACAAAAAAAAAATGTAATTGGAAAATCATTATTTGAAAATTGAAAAACAATTACTTGTAAGAAAATTTATTTGAAACAAAAAACTTACTTGAAAAAAAAAAAATTGTTACCAAAAATTTTAAATGTCAGTTTAAAAACAACATAAACTCATTTTTTGACACTACGTTTTTTCCTCAAATTATTGTAGGTGACAACCATTTATAAACCAAAAAAACTATTTTCGAACGATGTTTTATTGGCAGTAATTTTGAGTTTTGTAATTATAAACTGCAAACTGACTACGAAATGGTTACCAAACAGGCCATAGTGAATAACATTTTTGTGTTCGTTGCAGGAAAATACTACTTGGTGGATAACGACTATAGCAACAAGACAGGGTACCTAGCCCCGTACAAGGGGTATAGGTATCACCAAAATGCCCATCAGAATCGAACACCATAGAATGAGTACATTCGTCATTGCGTTGTTGTATCGAATGGACATTCGGTGCCTGGAAGTCGAGGTGGGGGACATTGCAGAATATTCAAAAGTTAAGTTTCTCTAATCAGGTGACCTTTGTGTGTGCGTCGATGGCATTACATAACTTCATACGCCGACACAGTCAAATCGATAAGGTCATGTTGGCTATCCCAGACAGAGACGAATACATGGCCTCGGAAATGCCTGACCACGATGAATACACATAGGTTGCCGATGTGATTGAGGAAGGGGACTCCGACCCCGCAATGGCTGCTGTAAGAGCGAACATTATGTACCAACTTGGACAGCAAATGCAGCAATAGGGGCGAATATTTGAAAAAATAATGTTGGTTAAATTTTTAATATGTGTAACTGAGATTCAAATTTATATTATCATATATTTATAAAAACGTTTGGTTTTAATATTTTGATGTCTTTGGTAAAATAGATTGTGAACGAATTTTATTTATAAAGGAAGTGTGTCCAATCATTAACATATAAAATACATGAAGGACGTATGTCCAATGATTTTGTGATACAAGCAATATTTTTTTTTAGATGCACCTTCTATAAACAAAAATCTGTGTCAAAGAAATTTGAAAAAACACATAACACAAAAATAACGCAATAAATTC